TAAGGGCTCTTAGGAAGCAAGAGTCGCCAACTCCATAACACGCGTCACAGCGACGCTAGGACTTTGGTTCCAAGAAGCAAGATAGGGGACAGGATGGGTACATTATTGGTAGGTGGCAGGAAGTGATAAGAGCTGATAAGATACCATAGGAGGTCTTAGAAAGCGAGGGTCGCCAACTCCATAACACGCGTCACAGCGACGCTAGGACTTTGGTTCCAAGAAGCAAGATAGGGGACAGGATGGGAACATTATTGGTGGTGGCAGGAATTGATAACAGCTGATAAGATACCATAGGGGGTCTTAGAAAGCGAGGGTCGCCAACTCCATAACACGCGTCACAGCGACGCTAGGACTTTGGTTCCAAGAAGCAAGATAGGGGACAGGATGGGAACATTATTGGTGGTGGCAGGAATTGATAACAGCTGATAAGATACCATAGGGGGTCTTAGAAAGCGAGGGTCACCACTCCATAGCGCTCGTAACATATACTAAGGCCTGAACCGGTCAACTTCTTAGATGGCTTTCCTACTCCTCGGCGGTGCCCCATTTCCGCTAGGAGCCCTCTCGCGTAATCTCCGCTTTATATTATCTTTCCGGACGGTCGCTCAGGCCATGTTTTATTCATAGGTGATGGTCATTCTATTGACTATTCCTCTTCCCACTTGCTGGTAAGCCTCAAACATGTGTATTTAAATGTACTTCTATGCACGAAAGACGCCTGCCTTGACCCACCTCATAGAGTTCACTCCTCTTCGGAACCGTTATGCGTTTCGCTTAGATGCCTGTCAAGCCGAAATTTGCCGTGCTTCCCGCAGACCACACAGAATCGGACACCATCTTCTGATGCAGCAGGGTAAAACACGGCTGAAATGAAAAGGTGTGGGATTGACGCACCAGTAATACAGTACATTATTTATACTTGCCATCAGTTAGCTCCACAGGCAGCTTGGCTATTTCTCCAGAACGCTCCATTCCTGGTAGAACTCTTTTCGCGAAGTCGACAATACGCCTTACAGCATCTCTCCTGCTCTCGCGGTCACCACTCGGGCACATTTACTATTCCTTGGTCCATTGCTTAAAAATTAATTACACCCACACTTCCGTGCAGAATTGTGAAAATGCATTGTAAATACATGAGTCATCCTCTCATTCTATAAACCAGTAA